GTCACTACAGTGGACCACAGCTACAGTGACCACTGGCTTACCAGTGATTTACCCAGTAGTTTGAATGTCACTACAGTGGACCACAGCTACAGTGACCACTGGCTTACCAGTGATTTACCCAGTAGTTTGATTGTCACTACAGTGGACCACAGCTATAGTGACCACTGGCTTAACAGTGATTTACCCAGTAGTTTGATTGTCACTACAGTGGACCACAGCTACAGTGACCACTGGCTTAACAGTGATTTACCCAGTAGTTTGATTGTCACAACAGTAGACCACAGCTACAGTGACCACTGGCTTAACAGTGATTTACCCAGTAGTTTGATTGTCACTACAGTGGACCACAGCTATAGTGACCACTGGCTTAACAGTGATTTACCCAGTAGTTTGATTGTCACTACAGTGGACCACAGCTACAGTGACCACTGGCTTAACAGTGATTTACCCAGTAGTTTGATTGTCACTACAGTGGACCACAGCTATAGTGACCATGGCTTAACAGTGATTTACCCAGTAGTTTGATTGTCACTACAGTGGACCACAGCTACAGTGACCACTGGCTTAACAGTGATTTACCCAGTAGTTTGATTGTCACTACAGTGGACCACAGCTACAGTGACCACTGGCTTACCATTGATTTACCCAGTAGTTTGATTGTCACTACAGTGGACCACAGCTGCAGTGACCACTTGCTTACCAGTGATTTACCCAGTAGTTTGTCACTACAGTGGACCACAGCTACAGTGACCACTGGCTTACCAGTGATTTACCCAGTAGTTTGATTGTTACTACAGTGGACCACAGCTACAGTGACCACTGGCTTACCAGTGATTTACCCAGTAGTTTGTCACTACAGTGGACCACAGCTACAGTGACCACTGGCTTACCAGTGATTTACCCAGTAGTTTGATTGTCACTACAGTGGACATTGTTTTTACTTTAATTAAAAGTAATACACTAAATAAAAGTGCAGCATAATAAAATCTAATTATATGTCACCATGGAACCCGACCCTTGATCAGTGTCACCATGGAACCCGACCCTTGATCAGTGTCACCATGGAACCCGACCCTTGATCAGTGTCACCATGGAACCCGACCCTTGATCAGTGTGTCACCATGGAACCCCGACCCTTGATCAGTGTGTCACCATGGAACCCGACCCTTGATCAGTGTGTCACCATGGAACCCGACCCTTGATCAGTGTCACCATGGAACCCGACCCTTGATCAGTGTCACCATGGAACCCGACCCTTGATCAGTGTGTCACCATGGAACCCGACCCTTGATCAGTGTGTCACCATGGAACCTCGACCCTTGATCAGTGTGTCACCATGGAACCCGACTCTTGATCAGTGTGTCACCATGGAACCCCGACCCTTGATCAGTGTGTCACCATGGAACCCCGACCCTTGATCAGTGTGTCACCATGAAACCCGACTCTTGATCAGTGTGTCACCATGGAACCCCGACCCTTGATCAGTGTCACCATGGAACCCCGACCCTTGATCAGTGTGTCACCATGGAACCCGACCCTTGATCAGTGTGTCACCATGGAACCCGACCCTTGATCAGTGTGTCACCATGGAACCAGACCCTTGATCAGTGTGTCACCATGGAACCCCGACCCTTGATCAGTGTGTCACCATGAAACCCGACCCTTGATCAGTGTGTCACCATGGAACCCCGACCCTTGATCAGTGCGTCACCATGGAACCCCGACCCTTGATCAGTGTGTCACCACGGAACCCCGACCCTTGATCAGTGCGACCATGGAACCCCGACCCTTGATCAGTGTGTCACCATGGAACCCGACCCTTGATCAGTGTGTCACCATGGAACCCCGACCCTTGATCAGTGTGTCACCATGGAACCCGACCCTTGATCAGTGTGTCACCATGGAACCCCGACCCTTGATCAGTGTGTCACCATGGAACCCCGACCCTTGATCAGTGTCACCATGGAACCCCGACCCTTGATCAGTGTGTCACCATGGAACCCCGACCCTTGATCAGTGTCACCATGGAACCCCGACCCTTGATCAGTGTGTCACCATGGAACCACGACCCCTGATCAGTGTCACCATGGAACCCCGACCCTTGATCAGTGTGTCACCATGGAACCCGACCCTTGATCAGTGTGTCACCATGGAACCCGACCCTTGATCAGTGTGTGACCATGGAACCCGACCCTTGATCAGTGTGTCACCATGGAACCCCGACCCTTGATCAGTGTGTCACCATGAAACCCGACCCTTGATCAGTGTCACCATGGAACCCGACCCTTGATCAGTCACCATGAAACCCGACCCTTGATCAGTGTGTCACCATGGAACCCCGACCCTTGATCAGTGTGTCACCATGGAACCCCGACCCTTGATCAGTGTGTCACCATGGAACCCCGACCCTTGATCAGTGTCACCATGAAACCCGACCCTTGATCAGTGTGTCACCATGGAACCCGACCCTTGATCAGTGTGTCACCATGGAACCCCGACCCTTGATCAGTGTGTCACAATGGAACCCCGACCCTTGATCAGTGTGTCACCATGGAACCCCGACCCTTGATCAGTGTGTCACCATGGAACCCCGACCCTTGATCAGTGTCACCATGAAACCCGACCCTTGATCAGTGTGTCACCATGGAACCCGGCCCTTGATCAGTGTGTCACCATGGAAGCCGACTCTTGATCAGTGTGTCACCATGGAACCCCGACCCTTGATCTGTGTGTCACCATGGAACCCCGACCCTTGATCAGTGTGTCACCATGGAACCCGACCCTTGATCAGTGTGTCACCATGGAACCCGACCCTTGATCAGTGTGTCACCATGGAGCCCGACCCTTGATCAGTGTCACCATGGAACCCCGACCCTTGATCAGTGTGTCACCATGGAACCCGACCCTTGATCAGTGTGTCACCATGGAACCCGACCCTTGATCAGTGTGTCACCATGGAACCCCGACCCTTGATCAGTGTCACCATGGAACCCGACCCTTGATCAGTGTGTCACCATGGAACCCCGACCCTTGATCAGTGTGTCACCATGGAACCCCGATCCTTGATCAGTGTCACCATGGAACCCCGACCCTTGATCAGTGTCGCCATGGAACCCCGACCCTTGATCAGTGTGTCACCATGGAACCCCGACCCTTGATCAGTGTGTCACCATGGAACCCCGACCCTTGATCAGTGTCACCATGGAACCCCGACCCTTGATCAGTGTGTCACCATGGAACCCGACCCTTGATCAGTGTCACCATGGAACCCCGACCCTTGATCAGTGTGTCACCATGGAACCCCGACCTTGATCAGTGTGTCACCATGGAACCCGACCCTTGATCAGTGTCACCATGGAACCCGACCCTTGATCAGTGTGTCACCATGGAACCCGACCCTTGATCAGTGTGTCACCATGGAACCCGACCCTTGATCAGTGTCACCATGGAACCCCGACCCTTGATCAGTGTGTCACCATGGAACCCGACCCTTGATCAGTGTGTCACCATGGAACCCCGACCCTTGATCAGTGTGTCACCATGGAACCCCGACCCTTGATCAGTGTCACCATGGAACCCCGACCCTTGATCAGTGTGTCACCATGGAACCCGACCCTTGATCAGTGTCACCATGGAACCCCGACCCTTGATCAGTGTGTCACCATGGAACCCGACCTTGATCAGTGTCACATGGAACCCCGACCCTTGATCAGTGTGTCACCATGGAACCCCGACCCTTGATCAGTGTGTCACCATGGAACCCGACCCTTGATGATTAATGTTGTTTATGTCAAGTTTCATTATGTGTAATTAAGAATTGATTATGAAATACACTTCCTTGTTGACCGCTGTAATGAATATAAAGTACACTTATTCGCCCTAGTACTCTTATTCTCCCTAGTACTCTTATTCGCCCTAGTAATCTTATTCACCCTAATTACTTTGTTGCAGCATATGCTAGGACTAATTGCAACTTAACACTTAACCCTCTTTATATCTTGTCGACCTGGTGATGAATAAGAATAATTTCTCAGTGACGTGGTGTCCTCAGTTTGTTCCAGTTATTACAATATTAAATGTTGAGGGTTGTACACTGGTGGAGTTGGGAGAGCAGCATACTCGCTCCCGGCTCCTGTATGCGTTGCTCTTCATGATGGAGCGTACCTGCGGGAGGTTTATCCACAGGTCTTCGATGTTGGGAGATAATTTTGTTCAAACGGTGACCTATTAGAGACACCATCTCTCCTAGTTGTGCACAATGGCGGGTGTATTTAGTGTGGTTTCCATGCGAAATAATCACGAAAGAAACGTAAGTCTTCACTATACCGTCTCTTGAAGTGAACTGGTGCCCAAGGCACAAGATTCAAATTTCTCAACATGCTGGTTAAGAGGTTCATTCCCTGGCATTAGTGCCAACTACCTCCGGTAACAGTAGATAAGTACTTTAAGTCCTCGTAATGTGTGTGTGTTTGTGTGATTTATAACGTTCATTATTATTAAATGGCCTAACCCTCACTAATACTGGCTAGGTCTTTGATATTTATAAGCGGTAAATGTTTATTTAATGTCAACAAGTGAATTTAGAAAAAAAAAAAACTTACTATTCCCTTTTCCTTCTCTTGCCAAAAGAATAATAGATTTTTCTCCCTATTCCTCCCTTAGTAACGGATTTCTCCTCATCACTGCTGAGGGCCCACGACATCAACCACTGTCTCACCAGTGCTGGACTCAGTGATGTATCACCTTGCTGGACTCAGTGGTCTGAGTGTCACTATGGTGGACCATGGCAGCAACGATAGCTGGCTTACCCATCCTGGACTCAGTAGTCTATAGGTATGTTTGTTTCCTTGTCCACTGTATAAGGGTCATTAATATTACCACTACTAAAGAACACCCATCAACACACACACGCACGCACACACACACACACACACACACACACACACACACACACACACACACACACACACACACACACACACACACACACACACACTCACCACTCTACAGATGATATACACCCAGGGATCGACGATCTGGTTGATAGATGCCAAGCGAACAGCGACGAGTTCGTACATGTGATCTTTGGCTTCTTGATGATGCTGCCACAGCTGGTTCGACACGATGACAATCTACCGTGGAGACAGAAATATTTGATCATTGATATATACTTCTATATATATGCAGAGCAAGCCTCATGCGGATGAAAATCTTCAGCTCAAGATCTTTCGCAATCTCCGTGCATCATCAGGAGCAATGCAATGTTACAAGGCTAGCAACAGATAATAGGAGAAAAAAAATTTACATCCCCTTGTGACTTGTTTTGCATTAAGATCGCTTGTGTAATACTGAGTCATAAATCTACTAAGGCTTCTGTGCTCCTGTTATATTCTCACATATTCTTTCACTCTCTCTCTCCCTTCTGATGTTATCTCTAATACTTGACAGAACAAAATTATATCCGACTTCTTTCAAAATATATCATCGACTAATTTATACCTTTCACTGACGAGGAATTATTCGTTGTGTAATTGAATTCTGAAGAGCTGTACATTAATCCCTTATTAATATATTAATATTCGTACTAGGCTTTTCCGTCAGCTTCTTGTCTCAATCATTGCGTATATTACGATCTTATTTTAAGTCATTTTTTTTTTTTACTTTTTTTTAACGTTTGCAAATTATGTACAAGTTGCTTTATTTTAAATTGGGTGAACTTAATTTAGGTTAGATTACGGTAAGTTAGGTTACATAAACTTATAATAACTTATATAACTAGAAATAAGCAAATAAGAAAAAAATCTGCGATGCGTCTGGTAAGAAACTGCAAGAGAATAAAAAGGAAAAACATTCAAATCGATTCTTGGTAAGAAAGAAGCTCAAGAGTTTGTTGTTGCGACCAACTCAACACCGGTCATGGGATTTTTATCTAAAGATGTGCCAGGAGGCGAAAATTGGCAGCCTACCTGTTGACTCATATTTAGATCCATGAGTATGATGGAAATGGTATAAAATATCGACAAACTGATAAGCAAGATTGAGGGACTGACCACCTCCAGTACTGTTTCTCCAAGGTTGATAGACTGATTACATCATTTTTACTTCACTACTACACCTGCTACATCTGTATCTGACTGAAGAAGCCTACTGTGTAGGTGAAACTTTTGACCAATAAAAATACCAAACCACTGCACATGTATCTTAGTCATCAGACCTATGAATGTACATAATTTGTAATATTTACTTAGTAACAGATAAGAGATATGTTTCTTTATCTTGTCTTTGTAATTTACTGTAACAAAGAATTACTGGCTGATAAACTTTATGGGAAGCTCTCTGAGGAACGAGATATTAATGGAGTATATCTTCCTTGGAGAGATAAAATGCTCTTGGTGTCTTTAAATTATTCATTTAGCCGAATTTATGGTGACTTTGTTTTGGTCAAAATACACTTGGAATACCAAGTATGTTATTGACATTCAGAGGTTCCACTGAGCTGAGTTATCATATAACTAAGATACTCGTTAGAACAGCATTTTCCCATTATTTCCCGATAGATAATACAGTCGCGCATTATCACCGTGTCTTGAAGTAAGATTGGCAGCAGAGAGAGAGAAAGAACAGTTGAGAATAAAAGTTGATCACTTCACAGCTACTTAAGCTTGATAAAGCTGAGGAGTGATATTTAGAAGCTCGGGGAGTTTACGTGTAAACTGTGGATGAAGGAGAACAACAGATAAAAACAGAGACAAGCAAGTCTTAGAATTAGACAGATAAGGAGGGGAAGAGAAGATGTGATGACACACAAGACATGATAAAAAAGGGAGGAGGATGTTCAATGCAAGATGCTAATGAATTTGGTGAGGGGTTTATACTTATAATAATAATTAATAACAATACTGATAAATAATAAATAGTTTTATTTGTAAAATAATAACAATTAATAATAATAATAATGATAGTTTTAATAGTAAAATAATAATAATTATTAATAATAATAATAGGTAGTAGGTTGGTAGACAGCAACCGCCCAGGGAGGTACTACCGTCCTGCCAAGTGAGTGTAAAATGGAAGCCTGTAATTGTTTTTACATGATGGCAGGATTGCTGGTGTTTTCCTGTCTCATAAACATGCAAGATTTCAAGTACGTCTTGCTACTTCTACTTAAACTTAGGTCACACTACACATGCATGTACAAGCATATATATACATACCCTTCTGGGTTTTCTTCTATTTTCTTACTAGTTCTTGTTCTTGTTTATTTCCTCCTATCTCCGCGGGGAAGTGGAACAAAATACTTCCTCCGTAAGCCATGCGTGTCGTAAGAGGCGACTAAAATGCCGGGAGCAAGGGGCTAGTAACCCCTTCTCCTGTATATATTACTAAAGTTAAAAAGAGAAACTTTTGTTTTCTTTTTAGGCCACCCTGCCTCGGTGGGATACGGCTGGTTTGTTGAAATAAATAATAATAATAATAATAATAATAATAATAAATAATAATAATAATAATAATAATAATATAATAATAATAATGAACGCTAGCACTTGGTCAATGTGACTAATCATAAGGTGAAGGAGGTTACACCTAATTAATACGCCTAATGAGGTAGAGGACTCACATCGAGGGGCGCCCAGGAGACGACGAAGACACAGGTGATCACCACCAGCACCACAACCATCTGCAGCTCGTGATCACTCTGATTCCTCGTGTGGTGGGGCTGAGAGAGCCCCGAGGGCAGCTTCCGTGACACTCGCATCCTCAGCAGCGACCCTGCCACAATCAAACATCTCGCTAAGTCTCTTGTGCCGCTACCTTCAGATTTTTGTATAGAATAGATTTTTGGGAGTACGCTATATATATATATATATATATATAATATATTATATATATATATATATATATAATATATATATATATATATTATATATACATGTTATATATATATATATATTTATATATATGTGTGTGTGGTGTGTGTGTGTGTTGTGTGTGTCGTGCCGAATTTGTAAAACTGGTCAGTTAGCAAGAACTCATTTAAAATTAAGTCCTTTCTAAAATTTTCTCTTATACGTTTAAAGATATATTTTTTTCATTAATGTTGATGTAAAAATTTATAATTTTGCACCAAAAGGAACTTAGAAAACTTACCTAACCTTATTATAACAAGAACAATTTATTTTAGCCTAACCCAACTAAATATATTTTAGATTTGTTTACAGTAATTTAATACTAAACAAACACAGTGAAATAAATTGTTTTTCGTTAGGTTCAGAATGATTTTGGCGAAATTACTGCATACACAAATTTTCGCTTGTCCTATATGGCAAGATGAGCGTTGCTATTTAAGCCAAGATCGCAAGTTCTGCCTATTCGGCACGACATATATATATTATATATATATATATATATATATATATATATATATTATATATATATATATATATATAAAATATTATATATATATTATTATATATATATATATATATATAATATATATATATATATATATATTTTTTTTATATATATACATATATATATATATTTTATATATTTATATATATATATATATATATTATATATTATATATATATATATATTTTATTTATATTTTATATATATATATATATATTATATATATATATATATATATATATATATATATATATATATTATATATATATATTATATATTAAGGGAAAAACCTGCCTTATTGAACTAAAAATATTGAGACACTTGTCGGTTTTTCAAACCATTCATCACAACTAAAAATATGTTGGTTCTCCCTTACCATGAAAACTTGGTTGATATGCCTTCTCTTCTTAAGACTTTTAATATTAAAGTTGTATTCAAAAATCTTGATACAGTAAAAAAAACTTGTGATAAAGAATTCCCCCCAAAATGCTGATGGATGTGTCTATAAGATTCCTTGTAAAATTTGCGATAAAGTTTATTACGGTCAAACTGGTAAAAATCTCGAACTAAGATTAAAACAACATAAATATAGCATTAGAACTGGACAAGATTCCAATGCTCTATTTATTTCATGTAAGAGATTTTAACCATCCAATTGATTTTCAAAAAGTTGAGAAAGTAGTATCAAGCAAGTCCATGGTCGACAGGAATATAATTGAATCTTGTTTCATAAAAAGCAGTTTGACAATAATATGAATATTTCCTTTGGTTTATATAAATTAGATCCATTTATAATTAATGAATTTGGGAAGAATTTAATAATACACTGGACAAATAATAATTTTTCAATTTTCTTGGGTAGAATAGTTTGTGGGTGAGTTGTGCAAAGGACCTATCCAAGTTGGGTCGGCGCGCGGTCAGGTGTTTAACCGTTGTGGGATCTGATAGTGAGGTGCTGGCCAGACCCCTTATATAGCTTCCTTGGATGCTTTACTTTCATAGTTCCTTGATAATGTGAGTAGTCACGAAAGCGCTTGGAATTTCTCTATTCTTTCAGAGTGGTTGTTTTGCATATATATATATATATATATATATATATATATATATATATATATATATATATATATATATATATATATATATATATATATATATATATTTATATATATATATATATATATATATATATATATATATATATATATATATATATATATTTATATATTATCTGGGTATATATCATTGTGTTTAACCCTGCCAGCACATGGATCAATCATTGGTTTAAACATATCTCTTATTACAACGACTTCTGTCATGGCAGAGTAACTTCCTAGCAAAGTGTCATATCTCCCACAGTGTATAAACCACTTCCACGAGGGGTTTATCTCCCTGGGTATATATATACACATCCCATCACAATGTCCCAACTACTCAGGTATATAGATACAGCTCCCTGCAAGCGTCTCATCTCACCGACGACGATAACGTTGCAGGCGACGATGAGGAGGAGGTTAGTGATTGTGATGACACCGAGGAGGGTGGTGTAGAGGCGGTGACGGAGGGGGGCGGTGGCAGAACACAAATGGATGTTAGCAAAGCACCAGGTGCCAGGGTACTGCAAGAACAACTCCCCGATGTTGAAGAGCGGCAGCAAGCTGAACACCGTGCAGAACACCCAGATGCATACTATCAGGAACCTGCAGCAGAAGGTGGAAGGAAGACTCAGTTAATGAAATGGATGGAATACCTAAATGTTCACCGTCAGAAACCTCTAAGAGAGTGAAAAATCAGGCTGTTAAGAAGATGGATGGAGAGACTGGATTCTGCCATTAAGTTCCTGAAAAAAAAAACAGAAAGAGATCACTTAGTAAAACAGAAGAATGAAACACCTTAATTCTGACCATCAGAATCCTGCAAGAAAGAAAGAGACCATTCTGTTAATGAGATGAAGAGATCTCAATTCATAAGATAGAGAGATCGCTCAGTTGAGAAGAAGAGAGAGAGATTACTCAATTAACGAGACGAAGAGAGATAGAGACCATACTGTTCAAGACACAGAACACACAAGCCCCAGCAGAGATGCACAGGAAAGACTCAACAATAAGTATGTTAGTGATGGGCAACCTTGCTAACAGTTTTAGTGTCGTTTTTGCCTGCGTCCATAAGCCAAAGTTAAACTTAATCTCTGCAGAGGTCAGACCTGGTAGAGAGGTTTAGGGTGATAGATGTAGGTCCATGGACAGTTTGAGATTTTTGCGTTCATCAGCACCTAATATGATGTACATAATTTTAGCAGGCTTGTACAGCACTGAATTAGTGCCAGAAATATTTTAATACATGCGGGTACATTTGTATATATTACTGAACTGAATGATAATTCAATTTAGTTTACTAATATAGAGGTCTAAGGTCCGCTATTACAACACCAAGTTGGCTATACACACTCATGTGGGTTAGAGATCTCTGGCCTCTTACAGTAACATCGACCAACTCACATGCCTATTTTGCCACACACGTTGGCCTTGGAGACAATTTGTTGTGGAGGTACTACGACCGTTACTCTCCTAGCATACTGGCCTCTGTCTCTACAAGTCTCTACAAGACTTTGGAACAGAACTTCTCCAGGCTGAGGGACTGACAACCTCAAATCTACGACTTCAAGGGTGATGGACTGATTACATCGTCTTCACATCTCTACTGCTCCCGCCTACTTTCTGTACTCGACTGAAGAAGCCTGCTGTGTAGGCGAAACGTTTCGGAATAAAGTTGCCTAAATGTTGCCTATGTGTCTTATCTATCAACTTGTCGGTATTGTATACCATTTGATAATCAGGTTGTGTCTTCAACATCACATGGTGATGTTTTATTTCGCTGAATGTTTCGTCGTTAACATCAAGTGACGATATTTATTATAGCAGTAGAGGCGGCAGTAAAAATATTTAATGTTTACTCAGAATGGAGGAGGTTCAGTGGGAGAAATTTGAGAAATGTGCCCGAAAATGTTTATACCTTCTACCTAAGACAATGAGAGAGAGAAAGAGAGAGAGAGAGAGAAGAGAGAGAGAGGAGAGAGAGAGAGAGAAGAGAGAGAGAGAGAGAGAGAGAGAGAGAGAGAGAGAGAGAGAGAGAGAGAGAGAGAGAGAGAGAGAGAGAGAGAGAGAGAGAGAGAGAGAGAGAAGAGGAGAGAGAGAGAGAGAGAGAGAGAGAGAGAGAATACTTGGGGAAAACAGATGGCAGAGAACTTGGAAGTCCGCAACATGGCTGTCAGCTGAGAAAAACTATATACTTTAATCTAAATTAAGGACTGTGACGTATTATTATTATTATTATTAATCATCAATAATATCACAACCGTTGTTGTTATTATTAGCTGGCCAAGGTATGGTTGATCTTTAATTGAATAGCGCACTTGAGAAGAGTAAATTTGAGAAGAGTAAATTTAGTGATCTGTTTCTGCCTTGTGGAGGGATAGTATAATAAGTGACTTCCTGGACACACTGACTTCATACATGACAGTGCGGCCACTGACAGCTGCCGGGTACAAAACTTTCTGTGGAACTGACAAGTTTGACCAGTGTGTGTACTCACCTAGTTGTGGTTGCAGGGGTCGAGTCATAGCTCCTGGCCCTGCCTCTTCACTGGTCGCTACTGGGTCACTCTCCCCGCACCATGAGCTTTATCATACCTCTGCTTAAAGCTATGAATGGATCCTGCCTCCACTACATCGCTTCCCAAACTATTCCACTCCCTGACTACTCTGTGACTGAAGAAATACTTCCTAACATCCCTGTGATTCATCTGTGTCTTCAATTTCCAACTGTGTCCCCTTGTTGCTGTGTCCAATCTCTGGAACATCCTGTGTGTGTGTGTGTGCGTGTGTGTGTGTGTGTGTGTGTGTGTGTGTGTGTGTGTGTGTGTGTGTGTGTGCGTGTGTGTGTGTGTGTGTGTGTGTGTGTGTGTGTGTGTGTGTGTGTGTGTGTGTGTGTGTGTGTGTGTGTGTGTGTGTGTGTACAGGTAAGCAAGTTTATTGCATGTCAAGCAAGTTATAGATGCACCCTTCCATGATGATAATATAATAATAATAATAATAATAATAATAATAATAATAATAATAATATTAAAAATAAGTTTTATTAAGCGGCAAAAAGTACTACAAGATTGTATTAAACTGTCTTTTAAAGTTTCTGGACATCTTAGCATTATTCCCAGAATTTCGAGCTGAGTTAATATAGTAGTAAAATTCTAATTACATTGTGAGTTAAATATAAAAGAATATTACTAGGTTAATCAGTCAATAAACTTTATTTAATAACATGCAGTACAGTCTACCTAGAGGGTGTAAGGGGGGTCAACGCCCCCGTGGCCCAGACCTTAACCAGGCATCTCGGTGGGTCAGGGTCTGACCAACCAAGCTGTTACTGCTGGCCGCACGTAGTCTAATGTAATAATAAAACCTGGCTGATCATTAGGTATCTCTCCAGGTCCCTCTTGAAGGCAGCCAGGGTGTCTACTTATGCCTGGCGGGAGGCTGTTGAACAGTCTTGGGCTCCTGACACTTATGTTTTCTCTCAGTGTACTAATGGGGCCCCTACTTTTCACTGGGGGTATATTGCATCGTCTGTTCAGTCTTTTACTTTCGTAGGGACTGATTTCTGTGTGCAGATTAGGGACCAGTCCCTCTAGGATCTTCCAGGTGTAGATTATGATGCATCTCTCTCGCCTTCGCTTCACTGAGTACAGATCAAGTGACTCCACGCATTCCCAGTAATTAAGATGTCTGATGGAATAGATATGTGCAGCAAAGGCTCTCTGTACATTCTCTAGATCTGCGATTTCACCTGCCTTGAACGGAGATGTTAGCGTACAGCAGTATTGCAGCCTAGAGAGAACAAGTGATTTAAAAAGGATCATCACTGGTATGGCATTCTTTGTTTTGAAGGTTTTCATCATCCATCCTATCATTTTCCACGCAGATATCACAGCGACACTGTTGTCATCCATTAACACTCAAATCCTTCACACTACTTTTTCTATTGTTATTTCCTCCAATTTTCCATAACGTAGTATAGTTGAAATTTGTCCTCAGTGAACATTATATTGTTTTCCGTTGCCCATTGGAAAACTTGGTTTATATCTGCTTGGAGATTTACCGTGTCCTCAATGCATGACAGTCTCATGCAGATTCTAGTATCGTCTGCAAAGGATGACACGGAGCCATGGTTTACATCTCTGTCTATATCCGACTTGAGGATGAGGAACAGGATGGGGGTGAGTATTGTGCCTTGTGGAACAGAGCTTTTCACTGTGCACCGTCCGACTTAACTCTTTACTATTACTCTTTGTGTTCGATTGATTAGTTGAAGATCCATCTGCCAACTTTGCCAGTTATCCCTTTAGCACGCATTTTGTGCACTATTACACCATGATCGCAACTGTCAAAAGCTTTTGCAAAATCTGTGTATACTGCACACAAACACACACACACACACCACACACACACACACACACACACACACACACACACACACACACACACACACACACACACACACACACACACACACACACACACACAACTCCAGTGCAGTCTGCATTTCTCGATTCTTCATAACACTCTTCACTGTGTGACAAAAACCACTCTCTTGGAAACCCACCCAAAGTGGTCAGGCCGCTTAACTTTCCTTACCTCTATCCACAGCTTTTATCGCACCTCTATTATTCCCGAATCCTTACCCTCCTCTTTGCTTGCAGTTGTCTATAGCCTAACAGAAAAAAAATTAGTTGTTGATAACTAGATACACACTCTCGCAGCCTCATGACTCTGCACTCCACTTACTCTGGATTTAATTAGCTGAAACTCATTGTCGTTTTTTATACTAATATATCTTAATTAACAGCTAGGAAAGGCGTAGAGAAAGATTTAAAACGTGTAATTCCTTTTTCATCAATGATTTAAAATGCTTAGCTTGTTGTAAAGCAGTATAATATACATACACAATGGTACTGCACAGGTGTGCAGCAGCAACATGGCTGCTATTATGTGAAGGTAACCAAAAAATTAAAAAAAATGAATATGCAACATTAATATATTAAAATATATTAAAATATCAGGACTAAATTGCAAGTGATTTTCAGTACTCAAGAGATGCAAGTCATGATCAAGATTCCAGAGTTGCAAGCCATGATCAAGATTCCAGAGTTGCAAGCCATGATCAAGACTCCAGAGTTACAAGCAATGATCAAGACTCCCGAGCTGCAAGCCATGATCAAGACTCCGGAGCTGCAAGCCATGATCAAGACTCCAGAGTTACAAGCCATGATCAAGACTTCAGAGTTGCAAGCCATGATCAAGACTTCAGAGTTACAAGCCATGATCAAGACTTCAGAGTTGCAAGCCATGATCAAGACTCCAGAGTTACAAGCCATGATCAAGACTTCAGAGTTACAAGCCATGATCAAGACTCCCGAGCTGCAAGCCATGGTCAAGACTCCAGAGTTACAAGCCATGATCAAGACTTCAGAGTTGCAAGCCATGATCAAGACTTCAGAGTTGCAAGCCATGATCAAGACTCCAGAGTTACAAGCCATGATCAAGACTTCAGAGTTACAAGCCATGATCAAGACTCCCGAGCTGCAAGCCATGATCAAGACTCCAGAGTTACAAGCCATGATCAAGATTTCAGAGTTGCAAGCCATG